GCCAATGGGAGCGGGTCAATCAGCCCAGCCACCCAATCAGCAGCCGCACTCTGCATGGGAGGGAGGTGAGGGAGAAAAAAACCCTGGACATTTTAACCTTGTTATCAATTCCTCCCGGACAGCTATTTAGAGACGCAAAAGCCTGACATGTCCGGGGAAATACGGACGGATGGTAACCTTAGTAGCCACCAGACCCATCTCCTAGCTGGTGACCACTTCCAGTTTCCAAGAGTCACCTACCCAGAAACTAGATATTGACCTCAAGGTAAAAGACTGCATAGAGCTTTTCACAAGAGCAAGGGTGTTAACCCCAGTGTACTGGCCAAATTCCAACTCAGCTAATTAGATTCTGCCTCCTGGACTTTTCTTTGCACTACACTGCTGTGCACATTGTCACTTTTCTTCTGCAGAAGAAAGTGTCTGCATTTCAGTGGTGGGTGGCATTGCTATAGTGATCTCTGTGTGTGTAGCCTGCAAAGTACTTTAGAATTCTTTGTGACAAAGGGATGCTTTGTAGATGTCAAGTGCAGCATCATTATTTGGGTTTCCTGTCTGGCTAAGAACAAGAGTGGCACCACTTCATGTCTAATGCATCATCTCTTCGGGATCTGTATGCTGCCCTTGCAGAGAGATGGGCTCAGCAACCTAACTGATCTGTGCCATGTCTAACTTTAATAAGTCTGTATTAAAACAGATGTCATGTGTGGCTGGTGCAGCTTGGAGTCTGGCCTGCTGAACAGAATTACCTGTTCTGGGGTCTATAAATATTTGGAGGTCAAATACTTAGATTAAGAGAACTGGACTTAAAAGTATCTGCCAATGAACTGCTGTGTGACTTTGGTTAGGTCACTGCCCTGCTCTGTGTCTGAGTTTCCTCTCTTTTTCTGTCTTTTCTATTGCGACTGTAAGCTCTTTGGGGCAAGAACTATCGGTCGGTCAGGGTGTGTGTATGTGTGTGTGTGTGCGTGTGCGCAGTAGCCAGCACAATGGGGCTGCTAGGCACGTTCCTAAAAATCGTCAATAACAGATGAATAGATTCCAAGGCCAGGAGGGACCAGTGTGATCATCTAGTGTGACCTGTCCAGCCCAGGCCAGAGAACTGCCCCACAATAATCCCTAGAGCAGAGCTTTCCGAAAAACATCCAACCTTGATTTAAAAATTTTCAGTGATAGAGAATCCAGCACACCCCTTGGTAAATTGTTCCAATGGCTAATTGCCCTCACTTTTTAAAATGTACGCATTATTTCCAATCTGAATTTGTCTAGCTTCAACTTCCAGCCACTGGATAGCATTAGACCTTTCTCTGATAGATTGAAGAGCCCAGAATTAAATATTTGAACCCTATGTAGCTACTTACAGACTGTCACCAAGTCACCCCTTAACCTGCTCTTTGTTAAGCTAAATAGACTGAGCTCTTTGACTCTATCACTCTGAGGCAGGTTTTCTAATCCTGTAATCATTCTCGTATCTATTCTCTGAACCCGCTCCAATTTATCGACATCCTTCTTGAATTCTGGGCACCAGAACTGGACACACCATTCCAGCAGCGAGCACACACCAGTGCCAAATACAGAGGGAAAATAACTGCTCTACTCCGACATATGATTTCCTTCTTTATGGAGCCCAGAATCACATTAGCCCTCTTGGCTACAGCGTCGCACTGGAGCTCATGTTCAGCTGATTACCCCCCCGCCCCAACACTGCTTCCCAGGTTAGAGTCCCCCATCCTATAAAGATGGTGTGACCCATGCCCAGAAAGAGTTAAGCAGCTTGCAGGCTAATTGACCCAGATTCGACCTTTAGGGACATATTGGTAGATAATGTTTGTGGTTTTGTGTGTTTACATATATATTGTTAGAGGTTAACACTGTAATCGAGCAGTCCCTATCTTTGCTGTATTCTGTTAATTCAGAGATCAAAAGGAAATATTAACATCTAAATTAACTGTAAACATAGTGATATCCTATTCATCTTTGAAATGCATAGCAAATCACCTATGAATGGTGGAAAACAGGCAATTGCCTTATGTTAATCCGTGTAGCTAATTACCATGATACTTAGAAAATAGGTCCACTTCAAAGTCTCTATGATTGCCTATTGTTCGCCTAAGGACATGGAACTGTATAAAGATGTCTGGGGTCCTGATCCTGTCATCTCAGATCTGTTTGATGCTTCACGCAGGGAAAGCTTTAGTCACAAAACCGAGATCTCCAGTCCTAATCTGGATCACCCTGAATATGAACATTGGACTATAACCTATGGACTAATTCTGAAAGAACTCTTTGCAACTACAAAGCTCACCATCTCTGCTGTTAATCTGATCTCAGAACTGTACTCATGTCTGTATGTAGACTGATCTTTCAACCAATACTCTCTCGCTTTTGTTTTTTAATACATTTTAGTTTTATTAATAAGAATTGGCTGTGAACGCATATTTGGGTAAGATCTGAATTATTCATTAACTTGGGAGGTAATGTGTCTGATCCTTTGGGGTTGGTAGAACATTTTTATATGATGAATAAGTTTTTCAGTGATCCTCATCATATTTGACTTGGGTGTCTGGGTGGAGGCCTAAGGCTGGGTTACTTTAAGGGAACGGTGTTATTGGCTTCTGGGTAATCAGTGAGGTAATACAGAAGCTGTTTTGTGCTGGTTTGGTAAATCTGAATGCTGGAATATCCACCAGTTTTGGGGATTATCTGCCCCATTCTTTGCAGTTCACCCTAACTGAGTGACCTCAATGCAGCTCCCTTGGGATCCCGATCACAGATGGCCTACATTCTTTGTTCCTAGATGGATATGTTGCCACACCCCCCCACCTGGCCTTCCTGGGTTACTCTGGGGCAGGCAACATGCCCCTGGGTGGTGCCGGGGCACCTGATGTTGACAGTAAAAGCGATTCTGAGTCTCCCGGTGGTGATGGTGGGTAGGTGGGGATTTGCTGGCCAACCCTCTGCTGCAGCCCTTTTACTAACAAAGGAAATAAAGCTTGGCCATGTCTCCACCTAGCTGGGTCCTGCACACACTCACGGGCCTGCCTTGGGAGCCTCCAGGAATACACCTGAGCTAAGCTATGCAATGGTCTAACCCAAAAGTACCAATTATAAAAAATATACAAACAATGTGCAAACACCCCTTTACTTATCCATCTAGAAAAACATGATATAAAAGACTGACAATTAAAATGTCACAACCACTTTAAATCAGCTGGGGGCATGTCAATAAATCATTTAATAAATGCCGTTTACAATAGTAAACAGAGCTTACCCAACTCCCATTTACACTAGCACCACTTACCCCACTCCTGAGCGTGCACTCCTCTGACCGTCAGAGTTGTGGGTGCATGTGAAGATCTCGAAAGCTGGGGCCAGCACTCCGTTGGCTCAGCCGAGGCAGCCCGGGGCAGGGTGATTCTCCGCTCAGCCCCTCTGGAGATGGGAGTTGTTCTTCCCAGAGGCCAGGAACCTGGCTCCTGGCTAGATGACAAGGCCGCTTTGTCTCTTCTCAGACTCAGGCACCCTCTTATAGTCCTGTCGCTGTCCCGCTTCCCCTGTAAGCACTTTCCCAACCAACACAGGAGGTGGTTACTCCCACTGCCTGCGCTACAGGCCGGCCTCAGTCAGCTCTGGGCTCAGCAACAGTCTCTGCTGACACCCACCAACAGCTTCCGCGGCTCCCCGCGTGCCAAGTGCCCCGGCAGATGCACAGCAGCTCGGACAGAGCGCCACAGTCCTAGTCCCCTGGCCAGGCTCTCCGCTCCCCACACGCCAGGGACCTCTGTATCCAGAACGAGGCTCCCTTCGCCCAGGACGCAGAAGGCATCTTCCCCAAGGCATCATGGGAGCTGTCATCGCTGAGGGTGGACTGCAGCGTCCCAGCCGGAACACTCCCAATTGAGTTCCGAGGCCCCGCTAATAGAGGGGGCTATCTGTACATTTAGCCGCATTAAAAGGAATATTGTTGGCTTGCACCCAGGTTACCAAGCGAGCCATATTGCTCTGTGTTAGTGACCGGTCCTCTGCAGGCCTCCCCCAATCTTTGGGTCGGCTGCAAAATTGGGAGGTTCAGCCTTTCCTCACTTCTGTTTCCTCAGCACAGATACCACCATCCCCCCTCTAGAGTGTGTACAGCATACGGCAGGCCTGGGAACTGATGAGGCCGATGTGTTCTGGCCAGCATTGAGAGCAGCAAGGGCGCTAGCTGCACCACAGACGCCTTGCAGTGGCGGGTATCGCATTTGCCATTTAGACCAGTCCATTGGGTCCAGAAATCGTGCCTCTAGCATTGTTAATACCTGATGCTCTAGAAGTAGGTAGCCTGCCTCAGGCCTCCAACAAACATCTGGCAAACTACGCGTATGCACAGTACTTTGGGGGTGGGGTGGGGTGGGCTTCCCCCCCCCCGACCATGGCTCGTGCCCCTCCCTTCCCCACAGCAAACAGCATGCACCCTGAAGCATGAGATTCAATTACCCATTTTAACTCCGCCTGTAGCGCTCAGTGCTCTTGGCAGCCAGGAAATTGCTCAGCCCTTTACAAGAACCCACCCACACTGTTTGACTGGCGGAGCCCCGGCTGTGGTGATTAACGCATTCTGGCAAGCATCAGATACAGAGACTGAGCCGGAGTCCCTGGCTGGTCCAGGAGAACCCCACCCCAAAACACAGACCTCCACTAAGCTCTGCTCGGTCATCACAGCCCTGCCTCTGGGCCCTGCTGGATCAACCAAGTCCATTCCCCAGGTGAGATGAGTGTGAGATTTTGTGCTCCAATCACTTCCTGAAGCAGAGCAAGGCTTGGGCTGTGAAGTCATGCTGCAAATTACCATGGCATAGGGATGGATTCTCCATCATTGACCATTTTAAAATCAAGACGGGATGTTTTTCTAAAAGCTCTGCTCTAGGAATGATTTGGGGCAGTTCTCTGGCCTGTGCTGTACAGGAGGTCAGACTAGATGATCACAATGGTCCCTTCTGGCCTTGGAATCTGTGTGTCTATAGCCAGCTCAAGCCCATCACATCGGTAATATGCTCCTGTATGTGCTGAATTGGGCCACAGTGGCTGGGCATCCCACTAAACCAAGGGGTCCTAAGCTTGGCAACATCAAGTTCTGCATTGGCGGCTTGCCAGGAGCCCAGGGTCTGAGGCAAATATGCATATAAATGTTCATACTGTAAAATAGTAACTAAAAATGCACGACTATGTCTGCGTGCGTTCTCCTTGCAGAGGCATAGAAATCGCTTGTTTGAATTCATCAGCAATGAATATAAAGGAGTGAACGTGCATCCCTTGCTACTGTTTCAAACAGAGCATGGTCTGGGTCGTTTATAGATCTCCATGCAGACATGGTGGGGAACCTCAGCACTAAAGCATGGACTTAATCACGGCTATTGAGCTTAAGGGGTAGATGCCCTTTGCATTGCCGAACCTGTCTATTATGAGCCACCTTCCCTGCTTTGTTCCATTCACGTCTGAGAGCGCATTCGCTGGCTCTGAGCCCCTGTAATCAGAGCCTTGAGAACATCTCTGTCCAACCTTTGTAGATAGCTCTGTGGCTTTAGGAAAGGCTCCTTCCTTTCCTTATCGAAATAAACACACTACAAATGAGACTGAGCACTTTGTTCACAACGTATTGTCACCTTTTCCTAGCCGAACGTGGGATAATTCAACATCCAGAGTTTTGAACACCTTCTTTGAACTTATTTTTAAAAGTGGCTCCTCTTGACCATTTAAATACTGACTTGCTGACCCCCTTAAGCACTGCCAATGCTTGTTTAGGATCAACAATCCTTGTTAGGGGAAATGTGAGCCAGAGATCTCAATTTAACATGCTTAATTGATTCTAACATAGTTAATTACTGAATTAGTCTGGCATTCTCATGGATGCTTTTCCAGGGGGCTTCTGCCCAAACTCTACACTTATGAGTGTATCATGGGGGTCCTACTCCTCCCCCGCAATGCACATAGGGTGGCCACCGCTGCATCCCCAGAATACTAGACAGTCCGGTACTTCCAAGGATGGCGTAGGCCTGCCCCTGCCAGCGTGACCCTGCCCCCGCTGGCATGCCCTCACACATACAGCACCCACGGAGGGGCCTGATTCTGGGAGATGTCCTGACCAGACCGGGACAGAGAGAGGGACCCAGATGACATCACAATCTCCAGCACCTTCAGCTAAATCCCAGCCAGCACCTGGCATGTGTCATTTCCTTCAAATCCCCCCCTTAATTCTTTTCTTTTCTCTCTCTTCTTGGGTCTTCTGTTGAATAAGAGTCTGGCTTTGCCAGACAAGACTATATTTTGTAATGCTGCAATAAGCCTGTGACCAGAGAGGGAGTTAAAAGAAATGCCCTAAACAGTCAGATCCGGATAGAAGTTTACCAGATCTCAGAGTGGCTCTTAGAATATGTGCTGTGGCTGTTTCTCCAGCAGTGAGGATGCAAATGAGATTCGACACCAGAGACAGAAGCTGCCTTTCCTATCTTTGTTGTCCTCTCTCTCCCCTTTGTGCCTGTGCGTTGTTTTGTCTTTTAGGAAATGGGATGGGACTTCAGCAACAACAGCTCCACCCCATGCCAACTAACTTCTTCCTCCCCCGCAAAGAACGATGACTACATCGACTGCCATTCTACCTGAAAGAGCGTCAGGAAGGGTGTCTTTCCTTTAAAACTCTCTGCAGCTAAAGGGAAAGGAAATCTGGTTAAAATAAAAGCCTTATTTAATACTTTACATTTCAAATGCTTTAACTGGTTTTCCTTCTTTTTCTATAGCTTTAATAAAAGGTTAAAAAGCTGTTGAATGGAATGTTTGCCATGGTACTAGTGAGGCTGAGGTTGCTGAATGCCAAACCCCGAACTTTGTTGAAACCTGTTAATGTTGGACAGTTTCAGGGTCCTGTTAACATCTTTGACACTCTGGGCCCACTTATTCCATCAAATTAATGCAACATTTTTGGTGTCCCTGATTAAGCTCAACAGGGCTCAATCCTATAGCTTTTTAATGTGTACAGCTCTCATTGAAGTCAATGGGTGGTTTACACAGAATAAACCCTAGATGTCTGGGTCTAAGCAGTCACTATGTGTGAGTCCGGTATTTGTCATGAGATAGAGTAGACTGAATTAATTACTTATAGTCAGTCTTAAAGTGCCCAACTTGGAATTTATAAGACCACAGAAACCTATTACAATTCAACAGCTGTGTAAAGTGTGTGTGCGCACATGTCCTCCTCTTGTACCAAGCCTGCAGAACTCAGGTGTTAATGTCGGGCCAAGTCCAGATGTAAGCCTCTCACCTTAAATATCAAAAAACAAAAAGCTGGAGCCTGTGGACTTTATCACCATTAGTTTTAATGTTAATCAAGTCAAAGGATATTTTGATCACTTCCTCTTTCCACTTGCTACAGTACTTACAACAGCGCAACAAATCCTTTCTCTCCATTTTCTCTAACAAAATTAACTCGTAGTTACATTTTTGCTCACCTCCCACGCTTCAAAAATGTAATACTCAACACTCCTCTGTGAAAGGCTTTTTTGTTGCTGGTGTTGATTTTTATGGATGTGTTTTTGTGGTTTTTTTAACAATACAAAATAAAGTTTCTAAGTAAGGCTGCGATGTTGGCAATTTTTTTAGTACATTTCATGACAGAGGTGTGGGGAAAAATCTATAAGTCACAGAAGAGGAGGGGTGGGAGTTCGAGCCCACCCCACACTCACCCCACAGCAGTGGCTCCTGTCCTGCGGGGCAAGGCTTGGCTCCCTACTCCAGGCATTGTGACCCAGCACACGGAGTCTCAGTGCCACTCAGGTTTGGCCCTTCTGCACTTTTGTAGATGGAGACAGAGGGATCAATGGACCAAACCCAAGTGTCACACCGTGGATTAGGTTGCAACGCCACTCAGTTTGGAGGCCTAGTCAAATGTGTTTTTACAGCCATTTCCAAGATTTCATGGACTTTATTCAAATTCACGATTTCTGTGACCACTGTGACCTCTATGACAAAATCGTAGCCTTATTTCTAAGAAATGTAAACATCATAACCATCATGGATATTAAACTGCCCTTAAAGTTTATTCCTTTTTTTACTGATTTTCTACTAAAGATCATATCCAAACTACATTAGCTAGACAAATGTTTCAGCGCCATGACTCCTTCAGTGTAAATTATTACTCTTATTATGTACTGTGTGTTGCATTAGGCCTAGAAGTCCCAATCAGACCAGAGCCCCATTGTGCAAGGCACTGTTCAATCCGTGCTAAGAAGGTGATGAACGCGGAGGTCGCAAGTGAAAAAATGACATTCACCGTCCAGGTGAATTTAACTGTTGGTTCTGAATGATCCTGGAAAAATACAGGAACTGGTTCTCATATGGAAATGGTCAGTGCTGCTGCTGCACTACATTGTGTCAACACTAGTGCAATTAAACATACTTCAAAGCTTTTTACTTTGAAGTCACAGTGTTCAGCTACTGCTGAAGAAATGAGAAATACTAACATGGGCTGATCCTGCAGCCTTACTCGCCTGTGCAATGCTTCTCACGCTCATTGGCTTCAATGGAATACTCATGTGAGGAAAGAACAGCTGGGAGCAAGGGCTTCAGGGTTGGGCACATGATCTATCGAACTCCTTGGAAAGGAAGTGTATGGGAGAGAGACTGAACAGCTCCCTTTGACCCAGTTTCCGTCTTCATAACTGTAATGATTACAGGACAGGATCAGCTGCTCACTTCAGTGCTTAGAATGCTATAGGACAGGATCCCTGAATTAAAGAAACCAACAGTATCTTGTGCTATTATGGTCAGTCCCTGTAACAACCTTTGCAGCCCTTACCCATCAGTCTGCAGCAATATGCCATTGCAGCAGGAGGGCCTGTGGTCTATGGTGTGAAGGCTGCTTCCTAGGCAGGAGTTGTCAAAGCTGGTGTAACTTGGTCAGCAGCAGCTAGACTGAAAATCCCTTCAGAGCAATTGTAAATTCAATGAGGAGTGTAACTTGGCATCTGATTTTGGAAAAGAAAAAGGAATATTTGAAATAAATAGTACAGAGCTGGGTCCCTACAATATACATAACACATTCCTGCCTACGAAAGGTCCCATGCAACGATTACTGCCTTTTAAATTACATTCAAATGTTTAAATTAACCTTTTAGATCTAAATTATGGTACCTTGAAATCAGCTAAAAAAATTACAAAAGTGACTAATGGGAAATTTGTACAACATGCCCTTTGAAATTAACCTCCCACCTTGGCAGCCTAGTGACGAGACGCCTCAGTAAATGTAGATCCGATCCGCAACAGCAGCAGGCAAGTGCGTCATGATCTGCACGCGCAGCCACCAGTAGTAATCCATGGGGTGGTAGCGGGCGTAGGGGGAGGACGACGTCAGTGCATGGGTGATGCTGTTGATGACTGGCGAGGTGTCTGGTGAGCCACTGTTGCAGTAACTCTCCATCTTGGTGATTTGCTCATCCAAGTACTTCCTGCCGTAGTCTTTGCGCACAGTCTCCGGAAGCTCCTTCCACATCTTCTCTGCTATGGCTTTAATTCGCTCAGGGGTGTACAGATTGGTGGCCCCTATGAAGTTCCCAGGTTCCACCACACAGATCTTCACTTCTTGGGGCTGCATCTCATACCGCAGGCAATCGGAGAAGGCTTCCACCCCAAACTTAGTGATGCAGTACGACGATCGAGCAGGGCTGCCCATCCGACCCATCATGCTGCTGATGTTCACCACACGACCTAGGAAGGTGCCAGGTAAATCACAGGGATGTCAGCAGAAGGAATGAGCACTACATACTCAACACATTAGATAGAACAGGCTCTGAAGTCAGATGCTCCTGAGTACTGTGTGTAATTATCGTGACTGTGTGTGCAAATGGGATAACAGTGCATGCCAATTGCTAATTGTGGTAATTGGCAAACCAGGGACCAAAGGCTCCTCAGCCAGTGAAGCTGAAATGCCAGTGCAGAGAGGGACCCAGGACAGTTGATGGAAGCAAAGGCACTCAGTGCAGATTTCCTGAGAAATACAGGGCTGAGACAAGTTTCCTCATAGTTCCTTGGGTCCTCCCAGTTATAAGTCCCCAGCATCTGCCCTTTTGCCCAGCAGCTAATCTCACTCCCAAGGGAGAGAATGGTCAGAGATTATCCCTGTGCTGGGATAAGCCGAATTTCTGTCTCATGTTTTTGTTCAGTTTTGCTGAACCAGAGGGTCTGTCTGGACTTTCCCTGGGAGGGGTGTGGCAATACAGCTGTGTTATCAGCCGTACAGGTACGTGGCTGCACAGTCCAGTTGCACAATGTGTCTGACGGATGCTTAGCACCATTTGTATCCAAATTCGTTATTGTTGCCAAAGGCACGGCAGCGGTGAGAGTGTACAGAGAAGTGCACCGGTCGTTACAAGACAGTTGCATATGGGCTGCAGCATATAGAGAGGTTGGAGGTTCATCAGTGAAGAGCTAGATCTGTCTGAGTAGAAAACAGCTGCCAAACCACTGGAAGGGAGGAAGGTGTTTTGCAATCTGCCCCTCTGCCTGAAATACCTTGGAGACCTTTACTCTGTTTCCATGATAGCTAGGCCATCAGTCACAACCCTTCCAGAAATGGTGCTTCAGCCACACGGACTGGCAGGGCAGAGCGACGTCTGCTAATCGCCAGAGCTAGGCAGGACTCTAGGGTCTTTCTGCGCACCAGCCTGGGCGTGCTGAGTTAGCAATACAAACACAGGACAACAGCCTGCTCCCAGCAACAACCTTAGAAACCAGAGGCAACCCACCAACTTCAGTGGAGTGGCTCTGAGTTTCGAGAGCCCAGTTTGGTCCCTTCATAGTGTATGAAAATGTGAACAGGAACAGTTAGGAGCCAAGTCATCCCCTGGGCATCTAGGAAACCTGTCACCAGGCTGCACCGAGAGGCCTCGTGGGCTGCTGACCCCTTATTACAAGTGCAGCCTGAAGGAAGATTTAATCCTGTTGGTGGCTCTAGCTGTGGGTTGTTGCAGTACGTGACGGGCACGTGCCCAGGGGCAGCAGCGCAGTGCTCTCGCCGCCCACCCGCCCACCAGGGAGTTTACATTGTTCTCCGGGAGGCAAATTTAAATAGCAAGTTAGAACTGACACAAAGTTACAGTCTCCAAATTCAGCTCCTCCTGCTGCCTCTGCTACCCTTCTGCGTCACGCTGGTCACTGACTGGGGGGGGAAGCAAACAAACCTGCCGGCTGCAAGGCACTCGTGGGCGTGTGCTGATTCCTGCACAGCGACGCTCTAGGCATAGCTGCTCCCAGAGCCGCACAGGGCAGTGCAGCCACCCACGACCCAGCATTCCTGCGCCTGCCCAGGGCCGAGAACCGGGAGCAGAACTCTGTGGCCAAAGTCAGCCTCACCCGGCATGTCTGACAAATGCAGAGGAGGAGACAGCTGCAGGACATGCCCTTAGAATCTGACCGTAGTCACGTCAGAACCAGCCCTTCACAGCGTGACTGCGAGGCGCTGAGCAGAGGTTGGGATGAGGAGCTGGGCCAATCCTGTGTGGTGGAAACTAGGGTGCTCAGCAGCAGACCACATGAATGGCTGAATTCAAAGCCCCGACACCAGCCCGAGCTTGTACAGTAGTGAGGGTAAAAGGTCCAGGGCGACGCAGCTGCCAGGAGGAGACATCCTGAGGACAAGGTGGGATTGGTGTCTGCCTCCTCAGCGAAGGGTTTACCTGCCTCCAGGCAGCGAGCAGAGCAGCCTAAGGGTCTTGGCTGGTTTGGCAGCAGCAAGTGCTATGAGCACATCTCTGTGCTTGGCTAGCAGGCTGGGACCATTCCAGTGGGGTGCAGCCATGGAGGACTCTTTTTTCTCGATGGCATCGCTCAGATGCCCCCTGCCTGGGGTTGTGCCTAGAGACCATTTGGAAACCTCAGCTAGTGCAATTTAATTGGATGTTGTAATTTCCTGCACTTCCTGTCCTTCACTGCTGTTAATGTAACTCCCCAGACACAGCTGTCACACCCATAGTGTGCTTTGAGGTTAAGAAGAGTTGTAATGTAATAGCTTAGCTGGCTCAATATGGGACTTTCTTCCCCTTATGTCTCTTTGCAAAATCCATGTGAACCCCAGGTTTGTGCTCTTTAGTCTAGAAACCCCATTGCCGGCAGCTCCGCACTCGCTACGACGAGCCACCCGACACTAACAATCCCCGTGCCGGCAGCTCCGCACTCACTACGACGAGCCACCCGACACTAACAATCCCCATCCCGGCAGCTCCGCACTCACTACGACGAGCCACCCGACACTAACAATCCCCGTGCCGGCAGCTCCGCACTCGCTATGACGAGCCACCAGACACTAACAATCCCCGTGCCGGCAGCTCCACACGCACTATGATGAGCCACCCGACACTAACAATCCCCATTGCCGGCAGCTCCACACTCGCTACGACGAGCCACCCGACACTAACAATCCCCATCCCGGCAGCTCCGCACTCGCTATGACGAGCC